ATTTCCAAGAATTCTTTTGTTATTCAAATTCAGTCCGCCGCCCCCGGCTACTCTTGCACACCAGACAACGAATATGGCCCCCGTCACCAGCCAAGAAAGACCCAAGGAAATGTTCGATGATTCCAAATCTCCGAACACAATAGAAAAGTTAGGACTTTTGCGTTTACGAGTTCTCCCTTTCTATACATTTCTGAGGCTTGCGCAGGGCCTCCAAGAGAGCCCCTAGATGCAAGGAACGTCGGCAATTTATATCATATGAGTTAGCCTATCCAGCCAAGCTGGAACTTGAGCGCGCCCCGCTTGCTACCACTACATAGTAGGGGCCGAACATGAAAAAAGGAATCACTGATACTCCTTGTTTTCAAGTTCGCCCCATCTCTGACGCTGCCTTGGAACTCCAGGGCCGTCTTCGTGCCCACTTGGCTGCCCCGGGAAAAGGCCATCAGAAATGGAGATCCCCTAGGTTCACCTGTCCAGCCCAGCTAGACCTCCAGCGCGCGCGCCAAGAGAGAGCCAAAAGAGAGGACTTGCCCAAGCCTTTCGAGCACTTTGCCTCAAGATGACTCCAAGTTTCTCGCAAAAGGCTCTCAAAGCGCCCCCCAGATGCGTTCAGGGACTCCCGGGAGGCTCCCAGGAGGCACCAAGAGCTTCCCAAGAGGCCCCGAAAGACTCCCACGACGCAACCAAGAAGGCCCCCAGAGGCGTCCCAACATTCCACGGCCTGTAGTCCGGAAATTTCTGACCCACGGCCCAGGCACGGCAATTTGAAAGGTAGGGGATTCCGTGACTTCCCTTTTTCAAATTTCCCCTAGCATATGCTTGCGCAACAGGCCATGATTCGGGCCCCCGTCACCACTGAAGACAGATCCCAGGAAGCCTTCGAGGGCCCCACATCACCGAACACCTAAAGGCAGTTGATGATTCTGTGGTGTCGCCTTTCCCCTTCTATATGCTTGCGAGGCTTGTGCAGGGACTCCAAGGAGGTCGTTAGATGCACAATGCGCTTCAACAGTTGAGATCATATGCGTTCGACTGTCGAGCCTAGCTATAACTTGAGCGCGCGCGAAGCGCGCGCGATGGTTCTTGTCTACATATTATCATACGCACCCCTCCGAGGGAGTAGAGCTCAGAGGCGATTAATGCGTACGCGGGGCGTTCGCGATTTGTCTGGCCGTTTCGCTAGGGACATCCTCGAAATTCTCAAAATCGGTGGCACCCCTCACGCAGATCGTGACGTCAGGGTCCAAGAACACATGGGAATTCAACATTTTAACACAACACCTTCAAACACACATGGTACTTTCAATAAGTTTGACCCCGATTCTCAGAGAATGGCGGTTTCGCTTGAAACATCCTCCCAACATCGAGCCCCGACGTACCCTCTGGTACCCCAGACCCCGCCTCGGAGCCTCCTGGGGGCCTCCTGGAACCTCCTGGGGCCTCCTGGGGCTTTCTGAACCTTCTGGCACCCCAGACCCCGCCTCGGAGCCTCCTGGGGGTGTCCTGAAACCTCCTGGGGCCTCCTGGGGCCTCCTGGAGCCTCTTGGGGCCTCCTGAAGCCTCCTGGGGTCTCCTGGGGCCTCCTGAGGCCGCCTGGGGCCTCCTGGGGCCTCCTGGGGCCTCAGAACTACATGCACACACAGAGACAAATCACACCCAACACATCACACGCTAGACAAACATAACACACACACACAACACCTACAACGCACAAAAAGCACGCACAACACAGATCACATATCACACACACAAACACACAACACTCACAATCCTTGGGCCTCCTAGAGCCTCTTCTGGTATCCAAGTCGGGCCTCCTGAGGCTTCCTGGGGGGCCCTGGTACACACATCGCAAGGTGTGGCAACCCCACTTGCGCTCGAGTACGACTTCGCTGTTGCATTTCACTCCTGCTTCAAACGCCCCTTCAGTTTTTTGGTATGAGCCTGGGCACACACGTGCCACTTGTGTGTATATATATATATATACACACCTAGCACCCCGCAGTTGCCGATAAGAGTGAGGGGGCGGGCGCGGGCGTTGCCGGCGGGTGAGTCGCAGCTGGGTCGCAGGTGGGTCGAGGATGAGTCGCGGGGTGGGTCGCGAGTGGGTCGACGGGTGGGTCGCGCGGTGGTGGCACTCCCCTAAGCCAATGTAATGAAGCCCGGCGCAGTCCCCGATTCTTATTTGGCTGTTATTGAATCAACATGGTGTGAGTCGCGGGGGGGGGGTCGCGGGGGGGGTCGCAGGTGGGTCGCGGGCGCGGGGTGGGTCGCTGGTGGGTCGCGGGGTGGGTCGCGCGGTGGTGGCACTCCAGTAAGTCAATGCAATGAAGCCCGCCGCAGGCGCCGATTTTTTCTGTGGCTGTTATAGAATCAACATGGTTTTGGTCGCGGGGTGGGTCGCGGGTGGGTCGCGGGTGGGTCGCGGGGTGGGTGGGTCGCGGGATGGGTCGCGGGTGGGTCGCGGGGTGGGTCGCGGGTGGGTCGCGGGTGGGTCGCGGGGTGGGTCGCGGGGTGGGTCGCGGGGTGGGTCCCGGGTGGGTCCCGGGTGGGTCGCGGGGTGGGTCGCGGGTGGGTCGCGGGGTGGGTCGCGAGCGGGTCTCGGTTGGTACGACGCACCACAACAACAAACGTAATCTTCGCCGTGGGTCCCCACTTCAGCCACGCAACCAGGGACAGTGAATGACCGTTCATGTCTGTATATATGTGTGTGTGTGTGTGTACGCATCTGTCACCTCTACCTCCTGCTTGCCTCTGGGGTGGCTCTCGCCTCGCCTGACTGGGTGCTGCAAACTGCAAACTGCGAGGCTGTCGCCGTTTCTGTGAGCTCCTGGAAGGTCCGCGGAGTGATGCCTTCAAGGCATCAAACGAGAGCGCGGGCCCCTCCGGGGTCTGCTAACGTTGCAACGACCGCCAATGCCGTGACCATTTGGGAGGTACAGCCCCCGTCAAGAGACCCAAGTCGCAGGCGATTTCTCGCCCCCGGCCCCCGCTCAGGAAAGGAGGGGAACCCTGGGATACACTACCCCCACAGAGGGGGCTATTCGGGACCCCCCCCCCAATCGAGGATGGACGCCCCCCCCAGGGCTGGGCCCCAACAGCTCGACCTTGACAAACTAAACCTCGCCCCCCTCCAGGGCGCTGCCAACTGCGATACCGCTGCCCCATTGTGTGGGCTACGTAGTGCGGGGTCGCACGCCGAGTTGGGCCGCACGTGGAGAACGCGGACCCACAGACGAGACCTCGTCCTCCCCTTGTGGGGGCTGTCGACACCGCGCAGTGGTCGCCGCTGCCTTGAGCTCCTGATTGGGGTCCAGCGGAGTGGGGCAACATGTCGGGGGCGGGCGAGGGGGGAAGGAACGAGGAGGAGGCCTCTTCGGAGGGCGGCGGGACTTCTCAGGACCCCCTCGCGCCTTTGAGAGGTTCGTTTCTGTGTCTTCGAGGAATGCTGGGGAAACTGATCAGAAGGACGGGTGGCTTCCGAGCCTTCCGAGAAACACTCGCATTCCCCCCCCCCCGGTTGGCCGCCGAATCTGTGGACCCAGCGAGACACGCCCTTCCTTGGGGCTGCTGGCTGCGCAACTGCCGCCACTCCGTGAGTTCCTGGGAGGTTCCGATGGGCGGGGCCTGCCGCGGACCCAGACGAGGCCTCGCCCTTCCTGGTGCGCAACTGGCGCAACTTCCGCCAGCACCTACGGGGTCCAGCAGAGCAGGGCCTTTCGCGGGCCCCCAAAGATCTCGCCCTCTCTCGTGTATTGCTCGTTGTGTTCAGTCTATGTTTGTTCCGCCCTCTCTTTAGCTGTGTGTGTTCAGTTGTGTTAGTCCGTTTGTCGGTGTGGTGCAGTCTTATTTGGTTCGTGCTCCTGGTGTCTATGTTTATGCATGTTTGTTTATGGGTTTGCCTATTTTTTGGTTCGGTGCGTTTCAGTCTTCCGTTTTATGGGAGGGGGCACGATTTGACCGCACTCCTTTACGAAGAGACCCAGCAGTAGTAATCAGCAAGCATCCAATACAGGGGGTTGGTTGATAGTCATGTGTATGTGTAGCTACCCGCCTAACGCACATCATTGCAGTGAGTAGTGTCTCACGTGTACACTTGCGGACTTCATGCCTTAGCCATTTCAGTCAAGAGTTGTCCTGACGAGGCCCCGGATGCCGAAAGCTAGACAGAGCCACTGAACAATGGCACGGGCTTGAGAGCGCCATACGAGTCAGGTGCATGGGCTGCCTACGCCGCAATTGTCACCACTTTCATGAGCTCCTGGGAGGGTCCAGCGCAGTGCGGTCTTCTGCGGACTGAAACGAGACCTCGCCGTTGCCCACTCCTCCTTTCTCGCCATCTGCTGCTGCTGCTCCTCCTCCTCCTCTTCCTCCTCCTCCTCCCTTTCGTAATTATATCGTGCATTACACCTCACCCTGCTTCTCTTGCCTCTCTCCTCCTTCCCCGCCTCCTTCTTCCTTCTCCTCCTCCCTCCTCTTCCTCCCCCTCTTCCTCCTCCTCCTGCTCTGGTCCACTCGTTCCTCCTCTAATGCCCTTCATTCCCTTCCTCCACCTCCACCTCCTCCTTTTCTTCCTCCCTTCTCCTTTCTCGTCCCGCATCCTCCTTCCCGTTTCCCATCTATCCACTTCCAGGTAGGAGGGCAACCGATCTTGAGGAGAGGGAGGAGGAGGAGGAGGAGGAGGAGGAGGAGGAGGAGGAGGAGGAGGAGGAAGGAGAGGAGGAGGAGGAGGAGGAAGGAGGAGGAGGAGAAAGGAGAGGAGGAGCAGGAAGATGAGGGGCAGGAAGAGGAGGAGGCGGAGGAGGAAGACAAGTTTGAGATGGATGGAAGGGTGAACTTTGAGAAACAGGGGGTCGTCGAGCCCCTCCTCCTACCTGCCTCTTATCGCTTCCAGCTCTCCTGCAGCACCTTAGCCATTTGGCTCAACCTTTCGCGGCTCATCGGTGTCGGCGATCCCCAGCCCGCTCGACGGGCACAGGGGCACGGGCGTAGGCGGCAGACCCATGCAAGGCGAAGGTATGCTCGAAAAGGACATCTTGGCCTGCCAGTTCGGCAGCTGGTACGACCACTTCCGGGCAGCCAGGGTCACATTCAAGAGCGAGATCATCCCGCTGCCGGAAGACTTCGTGAATTTTTTGACGGCCGATGGGATCATGTTGCCGTCAGACAGGCCCGACGATGCCAGCGACAGCAGCTTCGAGGAGGCCCACGGTGCAAAAGAAGACGACGGCGACGAGGGCTCCCTGGACGTCTCCGAGCTGGCGAGCTACGCGGCCCTGCACGCCCGCATCAAGGACGCGATCGCCAGATTCGACGGCGGCGTGCTCCCGAAGCTGAACTGGAGCTCCCCCAAGGATGCGCAGTGGGTGCACGGCACGCTGCAGTGCAGCACGCCCCAAGAGGTCATCATGCTCCTGAAGGCCTCCGACTTCGTCTCCCACGATCTGTGCAACTCTTTCGATCTCTGTGCCCCTGTCGGGCGAAGGCGGCCGGACGAGTTCACGCTGGTGCTCCGAAAGTGGTACGACTTGCACGAGTCTGGCGAGTTCAGGTGCTTCGTGCACAGCTCCAGGTTGGTGGCAGTCAGCCAGAGGCAGACCGGCAGTTGCTTCCCGCACCTCGCGTGCCACGAAGAGACCGAGGCAATCGGCGGCGCCGTTCGGGATTTCTTCGAAAAGCACGTCCTCAGCGGTTTTCCGTTGACCAGGTTTGCCTTCGACGTGTACGTGGGGCCCGCACCGCGGCGGCGCGTGTGGCTTGTGGATTTTTCGCCGTGGGGTCCCACTACAGAGCCTTGCCTGTTCGATTGGGACGAACTCTCCGAGCTGTCGGCTCGCGTTGAGGCTCCGGGTGCTGCCGAAATTGATGGACAGCAGCAGCAGCAGACACTGGTAGAGGCCTCTGGGCGAGCCCGATTTGAGCTGAGGGTCGTGAAAAACGTGAGCGAGTGCAGGAGCGGGCTGTCCAGGTACCACAACTTGCCCGTGGAGCTCGCCCAGCTGGGCCTAGGAGATCCATCGTCAGAGCGTATCCATACCCGCTGCCTCGGAGTCGCGCCCTGGGAACTTGAGGAGTGGCGGAAGTGGGTATCCGCTAGCCCCTCAGGGTGGGAAGGTATTCATAACATCCGACGCTCCCAAGGGGCCCAGGGCAGGACTACAGAAGCGGTGGATGTGGCTGCCCCCTGGCAGCACAGGAGAGGGCCTGGACGACCTGCTGGCACAGGCCGACAAGGTCTTGGAGCAGAAGCGCGCTGCCTGATCCCAGTGCTGCGCCCGCTCCGAGCGCAGAGAAAAAGTTTGGATCTCCTGCATTCTGCCTGCGCCTGAATGTTATGTGCTGGAGGGCGGCACGCGACTCTGAGGCCAAGGCACATGTGCACGTCAGGGGGGTGTCTGGCATACCTCAGCGGCGAGCCCGGGGGGGAAGTCAAAGGGGCCAGGTCTTGTCAGAAGGCAGCGGGGCTGCTCAGAAGCCCTCCGGCCTTCTGAGGGGCCGTCTCTGTCTTCGGAGAAGGCTCAGGACGCTCCTCACAAGGTCGGCGGCCTTCCGACCACCTCTGACTTCTTCTTTGGACACGCCACCAACCACCACACCGCAGACAGCAGATGTTCTTATGAGCAGTTCCATCACAAATGTTGTGCAAGCGGCGCAGGGAGGCACGGTAAATGTGCGCGGGAGAGTCACCAGAGGCTGGGAAAAGAGATTGGTGCACTCGTCGTTCTCCCCCCTCCTCCTATGACCAATGACGGTGCGTTTCTTGAGCCGTTGCGCTGCTTCTTTGCGTCCTCCTTGTGCACCCGTCTCTTTGTCAGCTTCTTGTGTTGCTCTTTATGTGCCCTCCATTCTTGTGTTCTCATTCATTGACTCATTTCGCTCGTTGTCCAGCTTGTGTTCTCATTCATTGACTCATTTCGCGAGTCGTGGCAACGCAAGGCGTCACGATGCGCGCTGGCGGGAATCCTGACCCAAAGAGGCTCTGGCTTTCGCGCTTCCATGCCCGATGCGCACCGCATTCCTACACATTCCTACACATTCCTTGTGCAGCGTCCATCCCCGCGCCATTTCAGCTCAAGGGCGGCTCCCGTGCATGCACCCGCTCGTAAGTGTTGCTTTAGGTGCTGCCAGGCTTTTTGTTTCATTTGTTCCAAAGCTGGACCCGGCTATCATGAGCGCCACAAGCATGTCGGTGCCGATGGCCCTGAACCACTACTCGAAGGAGGCCTTCTGGGCAGAGGTCGAAAGGATAAGGCAGGAGGGCGGAAGGCAGGATGAGGTCGACCGGCTGACCGCCGCGGCGGAGGGCATCCGCTGCTTCTGCTGCCTCGACCTCGGCGTGTGCTACAAGGACCGAGACGGACTCTTCGCGAACTTGGACGGCTGCGGAGACTACGACATCGTCACGTGCCCGTCCTGCGCCGCCGGCGGCGCCAAGGATGATGGGCCTGTTTTCCACCACCACCACCATACGTTGGAGGGGGGAAGGAGGAGGAGGAGGAGGAGGAGGAGGAGGAGGAGGACCCTCTCCCTCTCCAAGGTATGGTGGTGGTGGTGGAAAACACGCCCATCAAAGGACAGCTTCGTGGAGTGCTGCCGCGACCCCGAGGCGGCGCACGCCGGCATCCTCAAGAGGGGGGACCGGGAGCGGCTGTTCTGGGAGCGCAGCAGGGGGGCTCGCAGAGGGGTGCACGGCCCGCCCGCCCCCCCGTCCACACCCCAGCACGGAGGAGGAGGAGGAGGAGGAGGAGGAGGAGGAGGAGGAGGAGGAGGACGAGGACGAGGAGGAGGAGGAGGACGAGGAGGAGGAGGAGGGAGAAGGGAGGAGGAGGAGAAGGCGACAGTAGGAGGAGGAGGAGGAGGCGGAGGAGGAGGAACCCTAGGTCTGCTGCATCCAGTCTCGCTTCCAGCCTCTGCATGCCTGTCTTCGCATCCTTCCTCACTGCACCTTGCTCTCTAAAGCGGCACTGCCACTGAAAATCAGGGGGCATAGCTATTTATGGTCATCTGATTGCGGGGCTTACCGCACAGAGGTCAGTGCCGAACTCCACCTGGCGGGCGCCCACTCCCCTTACCATTCTCGTCTAGGCCCTATTTTTTTCGTTTGTTCTCCGCGGCGCCCGCCAGGTACATCTTGCGCCGAGTCGTGTACGCTCTTCGTGATTTGTTTCGCACACCCGCTCAAGAACGCTACAGGCTAGATCCTTAAGTCGCGCAAGGAGGAGGAGGAGGAGGAGGAGACAGGAGCAGGAGGAGGGGGAGACAGGATGATGAGGAGGAGGAGGAGGAGAAGGAGGAGGAGGGGATGATGCAAGATGAAAAGGAGCGTGGCGAAGAGGGCAAGAGAGGAGCCATCACAACAGAAGGATGACACGAGGAGGAGGGTCAGTGGGAGGAAGCGCAGGATGAGGGAGGAGGGAAGAGTGAGACATCAGGAGCGAGTATCTGGAGGGGGAACCTTCAGAGCAAGCAGAGGGAGCGGATTCGCAGAATATATTATTATCTTGGCGGAGAACCCAACCATGTGAAGGCGTGAGTACCGCAAGACAGGTGGGACGACAGACGGGGAGCTCACCATGGGGCCAAAAAGCGTGAGGGATGTACCCACATGAGGCGCTGCCGCCCCTGTGAGGCCACGAAACGTGTGAGGGTTGCTCCAAAAAGGAGCGGTGCCGTCATGCGGGCGCTGCCACTGGGGCGCGGAGCTCCCTGGGCCACAGAACATGTGAGAGGTATGCCGACATGGGGCGGCGGCGCCATGCGAATCATGCCATTGTGGCCTTCGGTAGTGCCGAAATGAGGCGGTGGTGCCATGCGACCCCTGGCGTTTGGGGCTTAGTTGGAGCTCTCTGTGGGGCTACGAAACGTGTGAGGGTGTGACGAGGTAAGGACAGGACAGGACAGGACGCCGACAAACGTCCGGAGGACGGCCACAGAAGGAACACGGCGGTGGCGCCGGAACGCCGGAAGCACGTTGGCTCCCTGATTCTCGAAAACACGATATGGAACTTTGTCCACGCATGGCGTTGAAACTAACGCAACTGGATGGGGGGACGTGGAAGGTGAAGAAGGGAACAATTTCACTTGACATGGCAATACCTACACTCCTGAAGATGCCGGCCAAACGCCAACAATGGAAACTATCATAGGCTCGCGCTCCGGATGCATTCATTCATTCAACTCACGGAGGGTGTGACGAGGAGAGGGACGGGATGGGATGGGGGAGGAGGGGGAGCAGGAGATGAGGACGCGGGGCGCTGCTTTTGCAAAACGAGGAGGAAGAGGGAAGGGTCGGGAGGGGAAAGGGGGAAGGAGGGACAAGAATAGCAGCAACGACATCAGCTTCAGCTGCAGGTGGGAGAGGATGGGTGGGCCGGGCGCCCCTCTCTGGCAACCTTGGCAGCCCGACGGAGGGCACCTCGGTGGTTGCCGCCCTCGGCAGGAAGATTGCCGCCGGCGGCCCCGGCCACGTCCCGGGTGGGCAGGCGCCGCCGGTTGGCTCCGCCGGCTCTGCCCCTGCCGCCTTGGCCGGCTGGAAGGCCTGGGCTCTCGGCCGACTTCCTGGGCCGATGGAGCGGTCTCGCCAGGCCCCCGTCCCCGGAGGAGCTTCGAGGTCCCTGCGGCCTCCGCGGCTGCCTCTGGGTGCAGCTAGTCCCCCCCCCCTCTCCCCTCGCCTCCCCAACAGACGTGTGCACCTGGGAGCAGCATCCCTTCGGCTGTGCCATAGAAGCCCCAATCCGACTTTGCAATAGGATTGCACCGTTTCCCCGAGGGAACCTCACAACAGGATCGAGGCGTCCTCTCCGAAGTCGGCAGCGACAGTAAGGACGAATGCGTCCTATGACATCGAGAAGCTCGCTGCCAGAGACGAGGAGTATCCCGCCTCCACCTTCTCGCCCCTCCCAGAGCCGATCCCTGAACCACTCCCGGGGGGGGCGTTTTGACTAGTGCTTCGACACGGCATCCAGCCGTTGCGACGGGAAGCCTCCCAAAAGGGGGCGGAGGGGGTCCACATGAGCTGGGAGGAACCAGGAGGGAACAATCGACACAGACAGAAATGATCGTCGCCTCCGAGGAAAGATGGGGAGTCCAGGAAGTGGAGGGGAAGACGAGCATCCAGAACATACGGAAACCATTGGTAATTGCTGGGTTTGTGTCTATTTAGTTGTGTGTCCCTGGGCCCCTTCGAGGAAGGCTTACCCCTGGCGTTCCCCAGAGTCCCAGAGCATACACCTAGGTCGTCCCTCGGCCTGCTCGGGGCCCGCACCCTAGGCCTTACCTCCCAGGCTTACCATAGGGCTGGCCTGGCCCCTACTCTGTAGGCATAACCTAGCCCTGCCCGACATTCTCACCCGAAAGAGTGTTAGGTGTTCCCCCCCTCTGCCGAGGATGGGGCCAACGCTTCCCTGTAGGATGCTGTTTGCTGGTATGTAGTCTGCACGGTTATCAATATGCATATGCGTATACACATAAAACGTAGACATAGATGCATAGATGTCTCGCAGAAGGCCAGCCCGGCCAGTGCTGATCTTTGCGCCATCCTTGTCAAGTCCGTCAGTCATGAAGATTAGTGCGAGCTCTCTCCCTCCCCCCTCCGCGACCGCAGTTGTTTGGGTTCAAACAAGGTGCAGCCCGTGCGCGGGCATGCGATCCGCGCGCGCGGGCGATTCTTCCGCCTGCGGGCGAGACCCCCCCAGAGGGAGGCCCGCTGCCGCGCGGCTCGCGGTTCTGCAGGAGGAGCCGTGGGCTCCCTACTCAGGAGCGCGAGCCGCGGCAGGCGGAGAGGCTTGGGCCATGGCGCCCAAGAAGCGGCCTGCGGCCGCTGCGCGGCGAGGCTCGGCCGCGCTGCGCCGCCCAGCCTCGCTGGCGCCGAGGGCGGCGCGAGGGAAGCGCAAGACCGACGGCGCGCGCGGAGGCCGAGGCCGCTCCCGCGGCCCCCCGCCACCGCGCCCCGACGGCGGCGTCACTGAGCCGAAGGGCGGCGGGGGCTGAGGGAGCCGCGGAGGCAGCCGAGGCGGACGGCGGGGTTCAGCCTCAGGGCTCCGCCAGTCTGCATTGCGGCGCTCCCGCTCGGGTGGACGTGGGTCGCGCAAGGGCGAGCACCTCGCGCCTGGCGACCGGGCGGCTGCTGGCCTCAATGAAGACGGCGACATCGCAGCCGACTCACGTCACGGAGCGGACCGCCCAGCTGGTGATTGGAACCAGGGCGAGACCTGGCCGTCGGTGGCCAAGTCGGGCCCGAGGAAGGGCCAGCCGCCAATCATCGAGATCGAGATGGGCGGGCTGGCGACATTCAAGGTGCTCGGTCAGGCAGAGCAGGACGACGGCGCGGTTCCCGACCCCATGCACGGCGAGACCCCGCCCCTTTGGGAGGTCGCCTACATGGGCGCGGAGAAGCCCGCCCAGCGGATGGAGCTCGCCGTGGCGTTCGACGATCCCGTGAGGACTCCAGCGCTGCACTTCTGCTCGGCGTCGATTCAGGCCGGCGAGTGCCGCGTGGGCGAGGACCTGGTCGACGCGCAGGTGCTGCACGTGGGCCGCTGGCGCTACGCAGCGCTGCCGTTCCGCGGCTGCGCAGGCGGGGAGCTCACGCGCGACAAGGAGGACCAGGCCGTCACGGACGCCAGGCGCGGGCAGGGCGGGCGAGCGAAGCGCAGCTCGCCCCCTGGGCCACCCCCTGGTCATCGGGGAGAGCGCGGGGCGGGCGCCGACGGCTCCAAGTCGGGCGCCCGCCGCGAGGGGCCTGGAGGTGGCGCGTCGGCTCACGCCCGCGATCGAGGGCTGAGCGCGCGGCTGGGCGAGCTGCGCGAGCGCGCTGCACAGCACGGCCGCCCCGCAGGCAGGAGCGGGAGGCAGCAGTCTGCGCCATCGAGGATCCGCCCCAACAGTCCCGAGGACGAGGGAGGCGAGCGACGAGCCCTGGTCGAGGCAAAGCGCGCTGAGAGGAGCCACTCGCCTCGCCGGGAGAAGGCCCGCGACAGAGCGCCCAGCGCACCTGCCGAGGGCCGCGCCAGCCTCAGCAGCAAGATCCTGGACAAGGCCAAGTCGAGAGGCGCCAGCTCTCAGCGTGGCAGCTCTGCAGGCGGAGGCGGAAGCTCTCGCGGCTCGCCCCCACGCAAGGCGAAGCGCGAGAAGTAGAAGCGCCGCGAGGAGTCTGACGGCAGTGCGTCGAGTGAGGGGTCGTCGTCGAAGCGTTTTCACGACGCCCGCCACTCCGCGCGCGACAAGGCCAAGCGCCTTGCGGAGAGGAAGCCGGGCGTTATCACGGAGCGCGCCTTGACGAAAATGCGCAGCTACCTCGTCAGCAAGGGGCGCGCGGTCGCGGACGACACGGCGCCGCGCATGCTGAACTACTTCACCAGCGTGCACCTGCCGAGCTGCCAGGGCAAGCTTCGCGCTAGCAACGAGCTCGAGATGCGCACGCTGGCGACAGCGGTCGACGCAGATCTCGAAGCCGATCTGGGGACTGCCACGGACGTGCTGATCCAGCAGTACAAGTCCATCGAGCAGCTCCACGCCGACGGGGGCACGTGGAAGGCGGCTCGGCATGCCTCGGTGGTCGGCGACGGTCGCGTCAGCATCGCGGACGATCGCGAGCGCGAAGCCTTCCTCAGGGGCGAGAAGAGGGACATGCACTACCGCCAGCTAGAGGGCCAGGTCGGGTCGAACCGCGGCCAGTATTGACAAACGCCCGCGGGGGAGCTGGCAGGGATCGGAGCGCCCCCGCGGTCAGGGTCGGAAGGCCCTGGAGGCAGCCGTGGAGTCGAGCTGAAGCCAGCAGAGCGGGGGGTCGGCTCTCGAGAGCGCAGCCCCGCTGGGCGTGCTGCGCCGACGCCGGCGAGAGACGCGACCTCGGCCGACCGCAGTCCCTCGGGAGACAAGCGTGGAGGAGACAGGGCTCGCTTCTCGGAGCCCCCGCCGAGGAGGAAGCTGTGCAACCCTGCGAGCCCCGCGGCCCACGTTGGATCGGACGGGGAGGAGTTGGCCCAGGAGGGCGATCGCGATCGCGCACCCCGTGGCGGCGCACGGCAGGTGCGGACCCCCTCGCCGCCGTCGAAGGCGAGGCCCAAGGGCAGAGGCAAGGGCAAACCGAAGCTCAAGGGCAAGTCCAGTGGGAAAGGCAAGGGCTCGGGGCCAGGCAAGGGCAAGGAACCAAGGAAGGGCCCCCCTCAGTATTGGTTCGCCCTTCGCCAGGCCAACAAGAAGAAGGGCCGCTGAGGCCCCCCCCCGCCGCTTCGCTCGCACCCATCAAGGCGAAGCGAGAGGCGGCGGAGACGGACCAAGCTCGGGCGCCAGGCTGCTCTACGCCAGCCCCCAGAGCGGTGGCCAGGCGCGCCCTGAGCTTGAGGCCCTTCGAGGGCTGATCGATCCAGCCGAGCTGTCGGGCATGGGTCTGCCAGCCATCGGCCCCCTCCTCGCCCGCTGCCTCCCCCTCGGGGCGTCACCAGGGGTCGGTTGCAGCGCGGCAGCCACGCACGGCCGCGGCTCCATGCCGATGGCTGTCGGGAGAGAGAGCGGGTGGAGCGAGGAGCACAGGCAGACTGCAGCCTACAAGCAGCTCGAGCGTGAGGGAGACGACGTGGGCCGCCACCGAGCCCACCCTGTCCTTGACGGGCTGGAGGTCTGGCTCGAGCTGGTCATGCGAGCGCTCAACACCACGTGGTCGGCACGTCGCTCTTGCTGGCCAGGCGCCGCATCCAGCGGAGTCAAGATGAAAGGCGCGAAGCCGAGTGGCACCCAGGTTCAAATGTATTGGAACCTGGAGAGGACGGTCGAGTCTTTCCTGGCAGCAGGCCCGAAGTTGCCAGAGCAGACCGCCGCCACTTTCCTGACGCCCAGGCAGGCCACCTACACCGGGGAGGTCGTCAGGAAGGCAGAGGACCTCTCATGGTCCCGGGTGCTGCCGAGCTTGCCGCCGCTTGCGCGCTGTGCATCGCTGGACGTCATGTCCCTGTGCGACACCAGGATGCAGGAGTGGTTCAGTCGCCCCGAGGTCACGTTGGCGCCGCTGGAGTCAGTCAGCGAGAGACCACGTCCAGGCCGGGTGATGTGTGAGCCCTCGTCGCGCATTCCCCTCGGGAGAGGTCTCCTCGAACGTGGGCTGGTGGTGCCGCTTCGAGAGCAGGACCTTATCACAGTGGCGGGGCAGCCCCTTCTGAACGGGCTTTTCGGGGCTCCGAAGGGAGAGCCCTCGCCGAATGGTGACCCTGGGACCCTGAGGCTTATCATGAACTTGACGGCGACCAACTCCCTCACGTTCGACTTCGAGGGGGACATTGCGGCGCTCCCCGACTTCGCACAGTGGCGTTCGCTCATCATCGGCCCAGGTGAGGAGCTCACGTGGTCCGTCGACGACCTCAAGGGCGCCTTCTACCTGTTCAGGCTCCCGAAGTGCTGGGCGCCGCTGTTCGCGTTCGACGTCAAGCTCACGCCTCAGGAGCTTGGCCTGCAGGGGCACTGGCCGAGCAGCGTCTACCTCGGGGCGGTCACGATGCCCATGGGGTACAAGAACGCGATG